ATCATTTTTTTTTGTCATTTAAATAACAAAATATTAAATTATCTATTAGACATTATTTTCATTAATTTTTTAATTGATATAAAAGTTTATTAATTCCCTCATAACTAAAACTTACGTATTATTAATACGTTTTATACCGTTATATATCGTATAATAAAATGTAGAACCTTTTTATTATAGAAAACAAAGTATAAAAGAGAAATAACTAATTCAGGAAGAAAAAATAATTTATGAAATAAAATAAATTTTATTACGTCGTAATCTATTCAAAATAAGACATTATTAACTATCATACACAGGCAAACAATTAAATCACAGTATAAAAAAGAATTTGTTTCAGTGATATTAAAAAATACTTTTTCGTATTAGATGACATAAGTAGTATTTCACGATTGTGTAAATATAGGTTCAATGCAGTAGGCATTTTTCACATTGTAGAATTTAATTGATAATACGAAATTATATGTAGTTAGACAAAAAGACTTAATTTCGAATGTACCTATGACTTGGAACCGCAAGTTTATGTTTAACAAAAAGATTTATGAACTTCACAAACTGGTATTTCTTAAAACCGTGTAAAAAATGTACATAGCACTGTACGTAATTTTATGTTATGTTTACTAGCTGTAATTAATTATATAATTCTAATAATAATATTGTTATTAGCATTATTATCACTTTAACTAGAATTTGTTATTTTGGCAACTTACGGTTCAACGGAAATTTCACATTTCTTCACATAGTCGCGATTGTACAGCCTAATCGACATTATGTTTGCCGCAGTGTTACAACTGATTCATACAATTTGTTTTCATTTTTTACTGGCATTACATTTAACGATTGTAGCATATATATACCGCATATTTGACTTTACAAAAATTTATTTATATATATTTACGAAAGTAAGAAAATACGAAACGCCACTAAGGAATTATTATTCAATAATAAACGTAAACATTTTAAATTACAGGGTTTTGGGTGTAAAGGGTGGGGCTAGCTCTTGAGCAGGAGGAACAGGGAAGTTAAGTTATAACTATCAATATTAAGGTAATAATCGTACAGATAATTTTTTTGCATTATGTATATGTGTAAATTAGTTTTTTAGTTGTTTATTATGTAAAAGGTGAGCTGCATGTATTTCCTTTATGTTTTCCTATCAATGGATGGTACGTCAGTGGCGGTGGTATAAACTTAATAGAGGTGTGTGATTTTATCTTTTAGTTTCACACACACTCTGCCTCCCTCTTTCTGTATAAGAATGGGTCAGGCTTTATCCGTTTTTAGTGGCACTGTTGTTTATTAGCTTAATGCTGAGCATCGGTTTCTTTCTTACAGTGCTTATGGCTTCCCTATAAGAAAATAATAACATTTATTGGAAGATCTGCATTAAGTATCTATTATTAATTTCTTTAAATGGCATGGAACTTACCAGAATTAAATAAGTCTTTCCATTTGAATAATTGTTCATCTCCTACAAACATTCCTCTTGGCTTTTTCTGACACACCTTGCCACCTTTCTCTTGAATTCTGAATAACTTTCCCTCCACTCTTTCTATAGTATTAAAATTAACATATAAAATCATGTACTAATGTAAATTTTCACGATGTACAACATTACTTACGGCAGCATCCACATTAGCAGGACTTTCATCATTAGGATCTGCAAGCATACTAATAACACTTATGAGAATAGTCTCAACTGTGTGAACTGGTAACCACCGTTCTGATGCTTTTTCATAGCCCCACTTATCATCTCCCGGTTCATGCAAAATCGATATGCATACATTACCATTCTTCTCGACTATAAAAGTAATATATTATTAAGTTTAATTTTACTTTTTCATGTACATATAAAACTTTTAAAAAACAGAAAACAACATACTGTTTGGATGCCATATTTCTGTTATAAATTTCATTCTTGGTGGCCTAAGTGGATATTCTTTTGGAAACTGTAAGTGTGCTTTGAAAAACCCACCTTCACTAAAATGTAAAAAGTATTTGTGAAAATATACAGTCAATTATATGTAAATATATTTTTTAGCATAAAATTTCTAAAATTTTAATTTATTAAATTACAAACAGATCAACTGGTATCTTACTACAATGTGTCTGGAGGTCCAATAATGAGTACTTCCCACTGATATATGTCATTGTCATCTATGAGGCCTGCTGAAAACCCTTCTACTGGGTTTTTATTTAATTCTACAGAAAAGAGGACAATTTAAATTAAATATTCCTGACACATTAAAATAATTTTATCAAAAAAAGGACAAAAGAATTCAAACTGTCTGTTAACAATTACTCTAAATGCGTATTTCACACTATTTTCCATATCAATTTAAATAAAACTAGAAATATATAAAATACAAACTAAAAAGAACAATACAAAAGCACTGAAAATATGCTCATGTCAAAAAACACAGAACCTTTTACGGATACGCGCAATCAATCAATTATGATTTGATTTGACAACAACATCAGAATTTTGAAAGCATTCAAAGAAAACCGTTAACATAAAGCTACACATCGCTCTGAAAAATCGAGAGAACACTTTTGTTATTCAACGTGTACAGGTTAGGTCAAATTGAACGTACTAAATAACCGTCAGACACCCACGGGTTAATGAGTCAGCGTTGGCATGATATTTTATGTAAAATTTATATGTAAAGCTTGATTATCAAACAAAGTACGAAGCATAAAAAATTATTAAAATAAATGTTGAAGTATTTCGTGTTTTGCCATTGCGTCAAAAGTTATACACCAGTTTGCTTCGAAAAAGGTTGACCTTCGGTGGTCGTTGCACGGCATGGTTTTCTGTCTTTTTTTTTTAGTCCAAACCGCGTCGTATACGGTGACGCGCGAAATGCTATAAATAGTTGCTTGCAATTATTTTCGGTAACAGCGGAAAGGGTCTTCGGTGTATATAAAAATCACACGCAAGACAATTTACATTCGACTTCGATCTGACTAGAGGTAAACGCGATACGGAATGCTAGGTTAAACTTATTCATGGGAGGCACACTACGGTTCGGAGCCGTATTGATTTTCACGCCCTAATCAGGCGCAGGACCATCGTGAGGTTACAGAAGCTTCAATTGATGTTCACGTAAGATTACAGAGGTTTAGAGAAACATATCTCAGGAGAAAAAATGTTTATAAAGCCAATCTCAAGGGTCGAAGCACTACGATGACGAGGTCGCACGAGTTTGGAGTACGAGAACGGTTCCGGCTTTTCTTCGAGCTCGAATTTGCAGCACGGATCACATTTAGCACTTATACTGCTTTTGTTGGGTACCTGCTAATTGTTTTCGTAGTAGAAGCGCGGACTGTGGCTCTGACATTAATAAAAGTTCCGTTAAATAAGACTAAAACTGAAAACAATCACTTTTGCTTGACTGGAAAGATGGCTAGGTACGTCGCGGAAGCAGTGATTGCGCATGCGCTACTACTTAAACATATGTTCTTCCGTCTCTCCTATGCGCCTGTCAGATCAAACACCTACGCTCTCTGCTGGATATTTTGCAAATATTACTGATCAAGGATACTTTTTGCTATCGATAAGTAATTCCTATTATTTGCAAAGGATAATAAAATGTCTATAAGAATGTAAGCACTATTACCTACTGTTAATACAATTTTCGATATAAATCGAAGGTAATTTTGGACAACTTAATCAGTTTTTACAGACTAAGAAATGACCGCTGTTTTGTTCGTATGAGCAACAATTTATCGAATGTGTCAAATTGGAAGAAAATAATATTTGAAAGAACGGCAGTTTAAAAAAAAATATCAACAATTAGTTGACTTTAATGAATAATTAAGCATGGATAGTAATATAT